CGGGCACGAGGCGGTGGTCAAGCTGCTGCTCGACAAGGGCGCCGACCTGGAGTCGAAGGACGGCAAGTACGGTCGGACGCCGCTATCGTGGGCTGCACTGAACGGGCACGAGGCGGTGGTCAGGCTACTGCTCGACAAGGGCGCCGACCTGGAGTCGAAGCACAAGGAGTACGGTCAGACGCCGCTATTGTGGACTGCAGAGAGGGGGCACGAGGCGGTGGTCAAGCCGACGAATCTCCTAGGTAGTCTCCGTAAATAATCTCATGGAAGGGTATGGATATGTAATGTCGAGGGTAACAAGCGTTAGGATCATTCGAACTATTCTTATTAACTATCATATATTCATTATTCCCTCTATTTCATAGAGGACCGGGGATCAGCACAAGTATATAGCCTATGGGTTTGCCACAGCGAAGCTTTGAGAATGCTCTAGATCGAGTTGGTGGTGGGATGGCCACTTCTAGAAAGTTCTACACGGCGTGGATTCGCCACTTCTGCCTCGTCAAGCTGACGAACTCCTCCGATGATACTAGAAGGATGGCCGACCCGCACTGACTTTGTAGGGTGGCGAATTCTGGTGTTTTCAGAGAATTGAGTTGGTTGACACAAGGCTGAGGTTTGGGCGGGGACGCCTAATACGTGTTTGCTGACTAAACAAGAGCCGGGCCGGCTGAGTCCTTGTGCTGCTCCCAATCCTGGGCCGGATTTACTTATCTTCCGGAGCGCGTGTGCGATGCGCAGAGCCTAGATTGATGGTAAATTACCCGCGGAGTCATCTTGTATTAGCAGGGATTAGTGGTTCGCTTCCGCTGGAAGTACTAATCGACATGGCGGCCCGGCATGAATTCGTCCACGACAGCGCGCGCAAGGCTGATAATAGCTTCTAAGCATTAGAGGGGGTTTTTTAGGCTTAGATAAGGCTATTCTATAAAAATAAATAGCAATAAATGCTTAACGTTAGCACCGTAGAAAGGGAACTCTGTTATGCAACAAAAGAAGGTGCAGAACAAATTGTAACGATTCTCGTTCCATCTCGGGTCGCCCGGAACCCATCCGAAGGGTCCCCGTATCGGCTCCGACCCTGGCTCGACCCTGACTCGACCTGGCCCCGACTCTGCCCTGCCCCCTGCTGTTACCCCTATTCCCTCATGTATTTAGTCGCACCTCGCCCCGTAGCTAGCTCGGTAGTTTTCTGATATCCTACGTACAAGGCCTATAGGTGTCATTGGTATTCCCAGGTCTCTGAGTCCCCACGCACTCCCATATGCCTCTGAGTGGATTCATACCGCATTCGGACCCATTGTCTTGCCTGCGCCGTTACACAAATTAGGCTTAGAAGCGACAGTGCAAAGGTAATTTTTAGGGACAAGTAGATTATAAACATTTAATATTAGCTACAGTAGACTATTTTTAAAGAATTGCAGCAGTATTTAATGCGTGTACGATGTTTTAGCTGCTAAAAGTTAAAGTACCTCTCATTTGTCTCGCCACACTGTGCGTCACGCAGGGATGCACGTTACATGTTCGCGCACGGAGGTTCGCGCACGAGCAGCATGTGACATAGTTACGTGATCCTTCTCGTGCGCAATAACTAGTATCCAAACTGTAACGCTGCTGCTGCTTACGGACAGTGTGCGTTAATCCGTGCAATGTCTTGGCATTCGCGTCGCGTCTTTTCTGCCTCACCAAATCTATAAGAACTTTAACAAAGCGACAATTTGCCCCTATCTATGCCTAAATATCTGTTATTTTAGTTAGATCTTCAAGCTGTATATACTTCCTAATTAGAAAATAATAAAGCTAAATTTTAGAAGTTTAAAATAGTCTTTAGCAAATAATTTTTAGCTAAAAAGCTATAGCCAGAGTAGCCACGCGTTTAAGTACTAGTTGTCACAATTGGCATGCTCAAGCTACAAGCAAGAGGTGGTGTAACCCAACTAGATTAAACTAAGGAGCAGAGGAGCTGCTCTGCGAGTTTAAGATATACATGCGTACCCCCTGCCAAGACGCTACTCGTTGCGCAAGCGAGGGAGCTGAAGCCGCAGAGCATGTGACGCGGTATGCGCCGTCACACTAGGCTCAACGATCACGCGTACTAGCGCGACACTCCTTTTGTTGGAGTTTTGAGAGTGCGCATAAGCAGAAGTTGAGGACTGAACTGAGGTTGTGTTGAAAGAGGCTATGAACCACTTATCTAGTTGTTCGTAGTAAACAGTACTAGTCTTCAATGGGATAAAGCTACCATCCTGGTGCAGGTGGGACTCTTTGTTATGGTAAGAGGTACTCAGTACAGGAAAGGACCTAACACCGTAACCGTGACACCTTTGTACCGACGCGTGCGTTTTGTATGGGTTTTCCATACAAAATTTACGTTGAAATACATGGCGAAATCCTGAGAATACCGCAGAACTTGTGAGCTTATTAATGAAGCAGTGAAAACTCTTAAAACAGAGCCCAACCCGAACATCGCCGCCTTCGCTCGCGACCACAACCTACCCTACTAACGCCTTAAACGCGCATATAAAGGGGGCCACAACCGCGAAACACGTCCGAAAACGAATCAGCTGCTTACTAAAGAGCAAGACCTTGCTCTTAAACAGTTTTGTGACGCTGTTGACGATATTAGATTTGGTATCTATAAAGCGTTAGCGGGGCAGGAGTGCGACGCGATCCTAGCAGCTTCTCATGAAGGAGATGGAGATCCTCCTCGCTGTGGCCAGCATTGGGCAGAGCGCTGGCTAGCAGCTTATAAGGAGTATTAACGCGTTAAGGCAAAGCCTATAGAGTTTGCCAGGAAGCTTGCGCAGCAGCCAGAGGCTATTTTGCCGTGGTTTAAGAAGCTTTGCACTATTATTTAAGAGCTAGGTATACTAGCAGAGGATACGTGGAATATGGATGAGACTGGCTGTCAAATAGGGATTGCTAAGAACTAGTACATGTACACAAAGCACGGCAAAACGGTAAGCTCTCATACTATTTAATATACCTAACGTTATTTCTTAGGTCTCTATACCACACTCAAATAACCGTGAGCTCATAACGCTGGTGGAAGCCTGCTTAGTTAATGGAGAGGTTATCGATCTTATGATTATTATTAAAGCAAGCACAATCCTTGAAAGATGGGTAGTAGATCGCCCTGACGATTACCTTATACATAAATCAGACTCTGGATACAGTAATGATAAGACGAGCTTGGATTGGATTAAGCATTTTAATAAGATGGCGAAGCATAAGACCCGAGGCACCTGGCGACTTCTAATTCTAGATGGGTACGGTTCTCATCATACCCGTGAATTTATTCGGTATGCCGAGCGGAATAAGATACAGCTCTTCGCCTTGCCTCCCCATACGACACACTTTCTGCAGGTACTCGACGTAGGCTGCTTTCAACCGCTAAAATGGTATCATGGTAGAATGCTTGACTGGGCTGCAAGAACTGGCTCAAAGGAAATTACAAAGGGTAATTTCTTAGCAACTATACACACTATTCGGGTAGAGACCTTTAAGCCTGGCACAATTCGAAGCGGTTGGAGGCGAACTGGTATACACCCGTTTAACCCTGAAGCAGTTGTAAAGAGGCTACGAGAACAAGAGACGGTAGATGGTACATCTAGGAATGCTCCTAATAGATCGCCAGAGCAACCAGCTGTGCGTCGTCCCGCTACACCCACTTTCTATTTGTCTGAGCTAGAGGATAGCGATGAATCAGAAGGCTACCTAGTGAACGATAGTGGCCTTAGGCGCTTCGATATTGTGCAGGGAGAGCTAAGATGGGCCAAAATCCGTAATAGATACCCAACTCCTCCTCGTCCTGTCATCCCTGAGCCCGGTGAACCTGGCTGGGTGATTCCTGAGGACATTGCCAGCCTTTCAAGCCAGATGATGAAGATCCGCGGCATTATTAAAGAATGGGTGCCGTCACCTATTGCGAGCGATATTGAACGAGCTCTAATAGCTGCTATGGCTATGGCTACCACTGCTAATGGCTTTAAGCGCCAGCTCGAGTCTACTCAAGCGGCCGAGATGGCTAGGGAGGAGCGCCGAAAGCGCTCACGGCGTACGCTTGATATTGGGGGAGGCCCTTTCTACGCAAAAGATGGCCGCGCAATGATTAAGAAGCGTAGGGAGGATAAGATTGCTAAGCAAGAACGGGAGCTGCGGGAGAAGAAGGCTAGGGATGTCGAGAGGATCTGCAATAAGTGCAAGAAGCTACTCCCTACTATACGCAATCACGGCAAGAAATGCTTAAAGAAATGGGCCTCTGAGATCAACAGTTTCCGCGATATCTCCAATTGGCAACTTGAGCCTAAGCTCTGTCAAGAAATACATGACGATACTATAGAAAAACTTGACATAAGAGGGGCTTTTAGGCCAAGGCGCGACATTACTGGAGAGGAGTTTTGACTCCTAGTGTTAATGTAGCTCTACTAGCTCGAGGTAAGTTTGACCCGTACACAGCTCTCCTACGCCACAAGAAATTGTTGAATGAGGCCTCTTAGCGCTTAGAAGACGCCTCTTAAGCGCAGGAGTCGCGGCAGGTGGATATTAAGGAGGAGGATGAGCCTGAGGATGTGCCTATAGGTGAGCTTGGGGACGACGAGAGTAGTAATGGGAGTAGTATTGAATTACTAAATGAGCTAGTCCTGTAATATATATTTCACAACACTATCTATAGACAACACTACCAAAAATATATATATTTCCTATATAATGTGGGATATTGTGGTCGTGATCGTTGAGCCTAGGATGATCGTTGAGCTAGTAGGCCCGTGCATAGCGCGGGCTTTTTCACGGAATACTGCGCAGCAGCCGGAAGGGCCCGAGTAAGTGTTAGTGATTGAATACCTAATGAAAGCCTGGAGTTTAGTATGCAATAGCCTGAGAGTTAGCGAGGACAGCGCCTAAGTTTTAGGTGCTTCATAGCCTAAACGAGGCTGCGACCATATGGCGCTTTCCAAGTCGCCAGGCTCTACAACAACACGTTGACAATTGAGCCCTTCCGCAGGGCTACTGTGTCTGCGCTTCACGCTCTGAACAGTGGAAAAGTCTAGCTGAAATGCCCGTCTACTGACGCGCAGCCGGCAGCCTGCTCAGAAGCATGCGGCGCAGCTGGGTTCGCATCTAAACTGGTGGATGATTACATGAGGACTTGTCGGTGACCGCGAGGCATTTGAATTTGGGTGTGTGTTGGTCATGACACGCCAAATTCGCGAGAGGAATAGCCCTTTCGCTCGGCTACAGCTAGTGGGGGTCAAAAAAACCGCTGCCCATTGTCGTGGTGTGATGCATATGATGGCATGCAGCCGAGGGTGCAATGCATGCATCCGCTTTTGAACTGGCATTCGATCAGGTCATTAGAGGCAGGTTCAGCCAAGCCAGCCTAGGCAGTAAGCAGAAACGATGGGGTCATGAGAGATCGTATGATGGACGCAAAAAGGTAACTTCAGCGAGGTGAAAGGATACCATTGTCGTGGTATGATGCATATGATGGCATGCGGCTCGGGGCGCAATGCATGCATCCGCTTTTGAATTGGCATTCGATCAGTTCAGCCAGCTAGCCTGGGGTCATGAGAGGTCGTATGATGGACACAAAAAGGTAAACTACCGCTATTTTTGCCCACCAGTTTTTCTATTTTGCCCACTCCTGTACCTTTACTGAGCCGTTCACTAAGCCACTCACTAAACTATGCACTAAACTACTTACTGAGGTACAAGCCCTGTAAGCCAGCTTTACTAAAAGCATAGCAGCCAGCTCACCAAGTCTAGTGGAGTCTTTCAGTCCTCCGATCTCAGGACAGTCAATTCAAACTGCTCTACGTCAAGAGTAGATGAAAGTTTTGGAAATTCAACAATGGCTTTGATCAATCCCCATCTAAGAGGCATCCAGGGATCGTCTTCCCTGCAATCAGGTTTGGGCAATGGAATGGCTAGTCAAAACTCTGGTCCGATGCTTCAAAAAGAGACTCAATTGCAAAGTTTTAATCCACGTCTGTCACCCATTCCCCAGGCTCCGTCGTTAAATTTGCCAAAGGGTGGAGGCGCAATTCGAGGCCTTGGCGAAACTCTTGAGGTGGATACAGCCACTGGTACAGCGTCTGCCTCGATACCGATCCAAACCAGTCCTGCAAGAAATGGCGCTCAGCCTGATCTAACACTAAAATACAACTCTGGAAATGGAAATGGTCCATTTGGACTCGGTTGGCAGCTGGATGGAATTCCTAGCATAACCAGAAAGACGAACAAGGGGTTGCCACAGTATAATGACACCGGTACTGATCTAGAGTCTGATGTCTTTATCCTGGACGGCGCAGAGGATCTTGTTCCTGTTTTCAAGCGAGACAGTCAGTCAGCCATTGTCCGGAACAACGATGGGAACCCAGTCATTAACGAATCGGTGCAAAACGGCTATATTGTACGACAGTATATGCCTCGTATTGAAGGATCCTTCATCCGAATTGAACGATTAATGAACGCCACAGATATAACAGACGTCCATTGGCGGACAATCAGTCCCACCAACGTGGTGACAATATATGGAATAGACGCGAATTCAAGGGTTTTCGACCCTAACTCGGCACCCGGGAGGACCGAACGGATCGTAACATGGTTGATATCAGAGTCTTATGATTCAACAGGAAATGCAAAGATCTTCAATTACGTGGCTGAAGACTCTACCAACGTGCAAATTGATAAGGCGAACGAACAAAATCGTTCCGACATAAGTCGGTCGGCTAATCGCTACATCAAATCTATCAAGTACGGGAACCGCTCCGCCAATCGAAATGCATCAGATTGGACCGCTATATCTGCGCATACCCTGTTAGATGATACGTGGATGTTTGCAATCATATTTGACTACGGCGAACACGATCTTGTAAATCCAAAACCTGATGATGCTGGTCACTGGCTCTGCCGACAAGACCCTTTTTCCACCTACAGGTCCGGATTTGAAATCCGCACATATCGCCTTTGTCGGCGTATCTTGAGGTTTCATATCCTTCAGGAGCTCGATTCAAGTCCGACGTTGGTCTCATCCACGAATCTAACGTACATGGACAACCCAGTCGCCACGTATATGTCTTCTGTCATACATACGGGTTATGTGCTGGACGGAACGAAGAAACCCACAATTCAAAAGTCTCTTCCGCCCCTGACCTTTTCTTACTCTACATTTCCTTCGGATGAACAGCTGGCGCAATTGACTGCAAAGGACGTGAATCAAGAGAGCTTAGAAAATCTTCCATGTGGATTGGACGACTTTTCTTACGAATTCGTTGATCTATATGGCGAAGGACTTGCAGGCATTCTAAGTGAAGAGGCGTCAGCTTGGTATTACAAGGAGAATTTGAGTGCGAACAATAAATCACCCAGCAGCAGCAGCAGCAACAGTGGACCAGTGACTCCAAAATTAGGTCCTATACGGATTCTCCCTACTCGACCCTCAATATCCGCACACCAACTGTCCCATTTTGGAGATATAACTGGTTCAGGAACCCTTGATCTCATCAGCAATAACGCTGCATGTTGGGGCTACTATGAAAAAGAAGAAAACGATGAATGGAGCTCATTTAATCAATTTGCCTCTTTCCCGACGTTTGCTCCCGATACTACTGGTTTCAAGCTGCTGGATCTTACAGGAGACGGTTTGATTGACATTCTCCTTTGCGCCGATAAGGTCTTTTACTGGTACCCATCCCTGGGCAAATTCGGCTACGGGCCTGGATCAGCCGTCACTCAGCCCAATGACGAAAACAAAGGCCCAATATGGATATTCTCGGACACTGAAGCGACGGTGTATCTAGCTGACATGACTGGAGATGGACTGTCAGACCTAGTTCGTATAAAGCAGACAGGAGGAGTGTGCTACTGGCCAAATCTAGGATACGGTAGATTTGGACCTATAGTTCAAATGGACAACCCGCCTTTCGACAGTCCTGATATTTTCAACGAGGCTCGTATCCAGTTAGCCGATATTGATGGCTCTGGGACCGCTGACATTGTATACATGGGCAAAAATGGTGCTGTGCTGTTTGTGAATCAGTCAGGAAATAGCTTTTCTGATGGAAAACAGCTGGGATCAGACCTTCCGATTGATCAGTTCACAAAAGTGAGTACTATTGATCTTCTTGGAAACGGGACAACTTGTCTTGTTTGCTCTTCAAGTCTTCCTAGTGCTGCTTCAGCGTCGATGAAATACGTAGACCCTATGGAAGGGCGGAAACCACATCTCCTTACTGGTATGAACAATAACCTAGGCGTGGAGACTCGTATTTCTTATTCTCCTTCGACGAAATTCTTTCTGGACGACAAGGAGCAAGGAATCCATTGGGTTACCCGATTACCATTTCCCGTACAATGTGTCGAGAAGCAGGAGATCTTTGACCATGTCAGTGGGAATCGATTCACGAAGAGATTCCGCTACTCGCACGGATTCTTCGATGGCGTTGAAAGAGAATTCCGCGGATTTGCCAGAGTGGATACTTGGGATGCGGAGGACTTCAAGATCACCGAATCGGACACTGGAGCCAATCTTGATCCTACCTGGGAAGTGCCGCCTGTCATGGTTAAGACCTGGTACCACACTGGGGCCTACCTTGGCAATCAGCCATTGGAGGATTTGCTTGCTTCCGAATACTACGGTGCTGCTACAAACAACAGCTCAGTACATAGCGCACCCTTATTTCGTTCCCTGCGAAGCAATACTATTCTATCCCCTGACCTTCTAAAAGCAGACGAGTTGCGTGAGGCATACCGCGCAATGAAGGGTCAGATGCTTCGACAGGAGACTTATGCTGACGACAAGAGTGCTTTTGCAGCCGTCCCTTACAGCATAGAAGAGAGTAGCATCACGATAGAAGCCATCCAGGAAGTCCGTGATGCTCATCTTCATTCGATTTTCATGTCATACGCCAGAGAAAATGTGAAATATAGTATCGACAGAAAGCCGGATGACCCGCGAATAGCCCATACCATGACACTAGAGGTGAACAAGTGGGGTCGCCAGACGAAAAGTCTTTCGATTGCGTATGGGAGGAAACTTGGTAAATCGACGCTTGGCGGAGTTGATAAAGAAAAACAAGAGAAAACTCTTTTCTCGTATTTTGAGACGGACTACACGAACGACATCTCAACAGCCGATGACTATCGACTGGGAGTTCAATTTGAATCGCGACAATACGAGCTGACCGGATTCGCGAAGCCGGTAACCGCCTTAGTGTTCGCCTTCGATGATTTTGCTCAAAACAATTTTAGTCCTATATCATCACTGGCCACAGTTCCCTTTGAGCAAAACGTCACACCTACCACGAAACGCCTCGTTGCCCGCAACAGGGTGGTATTTCGCTCCGACGACCTAAGCCGACTTCTCGCGCCTGGGGCCCTCCAGCCACTAGCTATTCCCGGATTGTCGCATCAACAGTGTCTAACACCTGGCTTGCTAGCTATTTTCCAGCGAACCTTGCCAAATCAACCAGTGGAAAATCTATTACCAGACCCCAAGAACACGCTAGGAGGAGTTGGGAACAGCCAAGGAGGTTATGTCGACCTGAACAGCGATGGAAACTGGTGGAAGATGTCTGGGAGGGGTTACTTCCATCTAGACCCGAACGCGAATGCTGCTGCAGAGCTCTCAGAGGCTCGTACTCACTTTTTCAGACCTCGTCGGTTTGTAGACGCCTTTGGGAACAACTCATTTGTCAACTATGACGATTATTCTCTCATGGTCACGGCGACAGAAGATGCCTTGCAGAACACGACTAGTGCGGTCATTGACTACCGCATCCTGGGACCGACAACGTTGACGGATCAGAATGGAAATCAATCCAGTGTTGCGGTTGATGCGCTGGGTGTTGTCACTGGCACTGCCATTATGGGCAAACCTGGAGAGAATATCGGTGATGATTTGAATGGCTTCAACTCGTATCCTACCCAGAGTGATTGTGACTCATTCTTCTCCAACCCGAGAGGCCCTGCGGCCCTCTCATTACTTGGAAATGCCACTTCACGAGTGGTTTATGATGTCAATAGATATTACAGAGACCCGTCCAAAGCACAGCCAGCTTATGCTGCGGTGATTTCTCGAGAAACGCATGTCAGCGATCTTACTCCTGGCCAGAAAACGAGGATTAGAGTCTCGATTAGCTTCTCAGATGGATTCTCTCGTACGATTCAGGTTAAGAGTGGTGCAGACGCTGGCCCAGTATCAGAAGGCAGACCAGCTGTGTCTGATCGCTGGGTTACGTCAGGCTGGTCGATCTTCAACAACAAAGGGGCCGTCGTGAGGACTTTTGAGCCATTTTTCGATGAAGGTAACGATTTTAAGGCAGAAACGATGGTTGGTGTGTCATCTATTACAATGTACGATCCAGTGGGACGGAAAGTGGCCCTGTTGGCGCCCAACCACTCTTTACATAAGGTCATATTCGCTCCTTGGTCGACGATATCTCATGATTTCAACGATACAATCCTCATTTCAGACCCGAGTCAGGATGCGGATGTCGGCCAATATTTTGCAAAGCTTCCTCAGGCCGAATTCCTACCATCCTGGTATAACAGCCGCATCAACGGACAGCGAGGTGCTGATGAGCAGAATGCGGCAATGAAAGCCGCTCTGCATTCCAACACGCCATCCACCTCGGACTACGATGCACTCGGCAGAACGATCTTGGTTGTGAGTGACAATGGATCGGACGGCCTGATTCAAACTCGGTCGACGTACGATATCCAAGGAAATATGCTTGAAGTCTATGATGATAAAGAGCGTCTAGTGTCGCAAATGGACTTCAGCATGTGTGGATCTTGCATCCACGTTGCAAGCATGGACGCTGCCGAGCGATGGACGCTCGTTGACGCAAGTGACCGTAACATCCTCGCCTGGACAAGCCGAGGGGGGCATTATCGCACTAAGTACGATGCCCTGCGTCGCCCAGTTGCATTTTTCTGGTCTGGGGATGGGGGGCGAGAGTTACTGGTCCAAAATACCACGTATGGAGAGTCTCAATCGAATGGCGCAGCACACAACCTTCGAGGGAAAGTTATGGAAATTAAGGACCAGGCTGGAATTGTAAGCATGCCTAACTATGACTGGAAAGGTAACAATCTCCAGACAATTCGCCAATTTGCAAAGGAATACAAGGCGAGATTGGACTGGTCTTCCGATGTCACACTCATCGAGGACCTACCTTCTTCAACTAGCGGGACTTATGATGCATACAACCGACCCGTGCTTACTACCTCTGCGGATGGATCCATCACTTTACAGAAGTATGACGAGAGGGGCTTTGTCATCCAAATACTAGTGAACTTGAAGGGTAAAGGTACTACAGATCAATCGTCATGGCAAGCATACGTCAAGAATGTCGACCGTGACGCGAAGGGGCAGATGAAACATATCGACTACGGGAACGGAGTTAGCACTGTGCGCTCTTACGATCCCGGGACCTTCAGACTGCAAAGGCTGCAGACGTCACGCCCGTCCGCGTCATCCGGGAAGGATGCCCTTCAGGACCTGCAGTACACTTACGATCCTGTCGGCAACGTCTCTCACATTCGCGACAACGCTATTCAAACGGTGTATTTCCGCAATGGCATAGTGGATCCCAGCAACGACTACACTTACGATGCAGTCTACCGGCTGATTCGCGCTGCCGGGCGTGAACACTTGGGTACAGGAAACAGTCCAGTTTCTCCGTCAGCTTTTGATACCAATACAACTCGGTTAGCCAGTCCTGCAGACGGTAATGCAATGGCAGCGTACATCGAAGAATACAAGTATGATACGGTCGGCAATGTCTTGCAGATAAAACACTCGGGCAGTGTGGCAGCAAAGCCCGGATGGACAAAATCCTTCAGCTATGGGGAGACCAGCCAGATTCCAGGGCAGTCTAGTATCAACAACCGACTCTCGAGCACAAATTCTGGCGGAGCAACAGACAGCTACCGGTACGAGGGGCCCGCAGGCGTGATGGGAGGAATGACCTCGATGCCTCAAACTTCCATGATGACGTGGGATTTTCTAGATCAGCTAAGCAGCTCTTCGCGCCAGATCACCTCGAACGGAGGCACCTCAGAAACAACATTCTACGTCTACGATTCTTCCGGAGTGCGGGTGCGGAAGATTACAGAACGCCAGGCAGCCGCGGGACAGCCACCAACCATGTTGAAGGAGCGGCGTTACCTGGGGCCGGCAGAGGTCTTCCGAAAGTACGCCGGAGATGGCACAACGGTCACGCTCGAGCGAGAGACGCTCAGTGTTCCCGGCGTGTCGGGCCGTGCGGCTTTGGTAGAAAGTAGGACGGTGGGGGAGACTGACAAAGGCCCTGCACTTCTGATACGCTATCAGCTCGACAATCTAGTGGGCTCTGCCGTGCTGGAACTGGACGACCAGGCCCAGATCCTGTCGTACGAGGAATACTTTCCCTTCGGCAGCACGTCGTGCCAGACCATCAGCTCCAACGTCGAGGTGCCCAAACGATATCGATTCACAGGCAAGGAGAGGGACGAGGAGAGTGGACTCTACTATCACGGCTCGAGATACTACGCCCCCTGGATCAACCGGTGGACCAGCTGCGATCCAGCCGGCTTCGTCGACGGGCTGAATCTCTACGTCTACGCTCGCAACCAACCCACAATCTTAACCGACCCCTCGGGCCAGGAATCTAGAAAGAAGAAACACGATGCACGCACACTCCACCAGAAAAAGGGAACAAAAGCGAAACCAAGCAAGGACGCAGGCTCCGGACACGCTGCTCCCCAAAAGCCTCCCTCAAACAGATCGCCATCCAAGCCCGATGGCGGCCCCGGGACCGCCGGCGCAGCACCACTACCCGCCTCGCCTCCACCGCCCCTCGGCGATCAAGTGCCCAAGGAGGCGATCCTGCAGTGGAAGCGACGGCGGGAGGAGGAGGCAAGGAGGAACAAACGGGACGATAAACCGGGCGAGTACGATCCTGTCTCTGGAACATACGAGTTTAACGCGTCAAATCCGCTATTTAAAGAATTTGAGAAGGAGATGAGCAATGTTCGCGAACGACCTAACGCGCCGGTCACCGATAGGGATATGCGACAGGACGTGTTGACAGCTGAGCACGATGAAATGGTAAATAAGGGTATTAATATCGCACTCAAGTATGCCCGCGCTCAATTAGAGGTTGAGAATGGTCCTAGAAACTCGAGCAAGGCCGATATTCTCTTAGCTGCAGCGCACTCGTATGTCATACCACTGAGGAATCGACCAAACAATCCTGCAAGCCAGGATAGGGTGCAACGCGACATCGATCATTATTTCATGGGTCGGCTACACGAAGATATATTTGGCCAATTTGGTACATTCGTATATGATGTGGTGAAGCAGACCGGAATACCCTCGGGAGAATCGAGCAACCTAGCGTCGCCTTGGGGGGGAAGGCACTGGACAGCGGAGGGTAGACAAGATTTCGAGAGTGAAGGGGGCTTCGAAGGGCAGAAGGTGATAGGTGATCCAGGGTCAGTGAGCCATCAACCATATTTGAAGGAGCTGGAGGAAGTAAAGAGGAATGAAGCTCTCTTTCGAATAGTTGAGCATAGATGGTTCGACTAAAGTATACGTTTGGTTGAATTTTACCTCCAGAGTCGCTTTGCGCCTTTGCCGGGCTTTTTGACGACCTGCCGATTCATCCGGCGGCGCAGCAGCAGGGAATCGCTCTTCATATGGATCCCATCTGACGACTGTAAACCGTTGAAAATTTTTGCCACTCAGGTTAAGTGGCTGACTGGAGATGATAATGGACGAATGATCCGTTGCGCAATGTTTTCCGAACACGGGGTCCTGCAAGAGTAGCTCTATATATCGCCTCTTCTTGCGGCTGCTTATTTTGTCATCAGCATTCGGATCGCTTGTTTTCTTGTCGGGATCGAATAATACATCATATCGATAAAATTGCTGATTGGCTTTTGACAATTTCGATTCAAAGAAGTTGGTCCGAAGCACACTCTTTATGATCGACATTGAGCAATGGAAGTCGGAGGTGCTCAGTAATCTCTGACCAAAGACCTTTCGGGTTGTGACCAGTGTGTTCATCAGTCCGTCCGTCCCCGTCTGAGGCCTTTGGACGGACGGGCAATCTGAACTTGCAGACGGACGGACTGGTTATCTCATCAATCAGACGCCCCAAAGAAGAATATTTGGGGTGGCTTCGCGCTAGCACAGTGCACAGACCCCTGCTAACTCCTTTAAGCTCCTTTAATCTCCTGCAAAATCATGGGCCAATCATATCCTAGTTCTCACTTACTAATCCCGCCACACCAAAGATTCTTCTGCAGAGCGTCTGAGGTCAAATGGGCGCCTCTTTGGTGGTAATCCCTAGTTTTCAATCACGCGTTCCGACTTCAAAGAAGGGTATAGAAGTTAAATCAATAGTTATGTTTACGGTTCCCAATGCATTTGAATGCTAAGATAATAGCATATTTAATTATATGCAGGAAAACCAGCTAACGTGTCTTGTTAGGTGCGATATACAGCTTAGAAGCTGAAATCGACGCACCCCGAAACTGCATCCGTTCACTCCATCCGCGACACCAAGCGCGCTGCCCTATGATCACTCCCACTACGATACTATCACGCATCTAACAATCTGAGTTAGCTCCTACGATCTACTATAAACTCCTAGGCTAATTAAAAACTTAGTACATTTCACGGTTAACTTAGACATGCCTCGGACTCTCCCCAGAGAGCCCTCATCCTGGCCTTGGGCACATGACGTCCCGCCACGTGCCCCAGCACATATATATATCCTCTCACAAACCCCTAAGTCTTCTTAAGGATTTGTCTATGCTTTAAAGTTTTACTACCCCTTTTATATAAACTTTAGAGTATAATACAGCTTTTAAAAAGCTAAAGTCTATACTAAACATACCTACATCCTTCTATTTTAACTTTATATTATAAACTAAAATTAAAACTAACACTTTAGATAGAGTAGTAGCAGGAGTTCTATTTTAGGAACAGGCTAATAGAAAATAGTGTTCTGTTTTGTTCTATAGCAAGGTTTTAGCTAGTTTAAAGCTAAACTAGAAAATATATAATAAGAAGCTATTTATAATTGTTACTATGTTTAAATAATAAAAGGCTAAGCTTATATCTATAGTAACAAACACTCTAGTGTATACTAATTATTAGTTATTAAAGTACTCTGTAATAATAAAGGTAGTTAATGCTTATTAGGTCTATTAGGCGAAAAAGTTAGCTTAGTATTACTTCTAAATTAAGTACACCCCTAGTAAGAATAACACTAGGGTAGACATTTTTAGCTACTATAAATAAGATGTAGAAAATTTAAAAGCAGCTTAAACTAATAACTAGTTAAAAGTCTTACTTAGACTATACTAACTTTACCTCTAAATTAATAAGAAACTAGCTGAGTACTATATTACTTAAACAAGAACTTAAGCAGCCTTACTAAACATTATAAAAGAACTAGACTAAGTTATGTTTTTAGATTTTATTACGTTTGCTAAAAGGTTAACCTTCTAGCTAGCACAGCAGAAGGATATATATAGACGGATAGCTGTATGCAACAGATTTTTTAAAATTAATTAATATATTAGTTACTTTAAAAGAATTAAGCCTTTTTTACATAAAAGTAAAAACTTTTACTTTACTATTATTAGATAAGAAATAGACTACTCTTTTATACTAACTATTTATATATTCTAGTAGACTTGTTACTGTGCATCTAACTTATCTAAAAAGTCTATAACTAAGTATTCTTAGCACACCTTAGTGCTATAAAAACTTATTAGTTACTGTTTTAAAAGTACTACTAAAAAGGTATAAAGGCTACTTATAAATAATATATATAAAATTACCTTTTTTATTATAAGCCTTATCTAAAATAAACTTAAACGTAAGAGTTTATTTACTCTCTTTTAATCCCTAATTAACTAATGTAGCACTTATATATTAACTTTAAGAATTTTTTAAAGACAAGTTTAGATAACGTACTTCATGGGCGAGTTGCTTACACACCTAAGTCGCTTACTTTTGCTAAGACCCCACCCTAACAAACTCTATTATAGCCTATAACAACCTGCTCTAGCACTATATAGTACAGTACAGCCTAGAATATTATTTAGATACTACTTCTGCTTCTTGCTTACATGTTTGCGCGTTATGCCTAGTCTAATTGCACTATCTGCAGCGCCTTTAGGATAGCTTACCTACTTTAGCTTGCACCTGCTTTTTTACTTTCTTTCTATTACTGCGCGCTTTAAACTCCTTTAGAGCTGTTAAGTATAGGCTTTTTTAAATTATTAAGGTTTTTTCTACTTTAATCTGCTTTTTTTTATGTAATTTATATTACATAGTAGTTTTATTAGCTACTTAAAGCTTAGTAATTTTTTATTACACTAATACTAGCTTATGTGTAATTATTACTACCCTTTTTAAAACCTTTTTAAACACTTTAACTATAAAAGTTAGTAAACTATTTATATGCTTTTAAATTTTTATTTTTATAAGCATTAATTATAACCTAAGTTCTAGAGTATTACTTAGGGTTTACAACTGCTAGGGCTTATTATATATAAGTAGTAGTAGTAATAGAGTGCGCAACTTTATATTAAAGCTTATTATAACTTATTATAGGTTAAAAAGAACTAATTTAGCACTTTAAAACTCTTTTTAGATATTACTAAAAGTAATTATAGCATTATAAGCTACTTTAAAGCATAGTAGAAACTTTATTTTTATAATATAAGTAATCTAGTTACATATAAAGTTTTTAGCTTAGCGCTTATATGCCTTTTTTAAAAAAGTAAAACAACCTACATTAAGTAGCTATAAAAAGTGTAATAAGTAAAAAGGCATATAAATAGTAATAATCTTGTTATTTTTATAGTATTACTAAAAATAAAGTAAGTTATAGCTCTTATAGCTGTTAATAACTAGTAGATAGTAGCTACTAATAGTACACTTCTTTATATGCGCGTTAAAGTGCTTTAACTAGTCTAAACTAAGCTAATTAGTAGTCTAGCTGCGCTTAGAGATTATAATAACTTAATTCTAAAGTAGATTTTTTTTATACTAGTTTAAAAGGTAGTTGCTACTCTAAAAAATAATAAAAAGTAAAATAGCCTACTCTTTAGCATTAATGCCCTAGATAGCTATTATTTACTTTTAGTTACCTAGCTAAACTACTTTTAGCTGTCTTTATCTCTTTAAACTTGTAACAACTACTCTAGTAAATATCTAGCTTATTATAAACTTTATTTTGTTAAAGTTGTACATATTGTTATTTTAGATGCTATACTTAGCTTTAATATTCTTTATTAAGTTAAACTAGCTTTAAATTACTATAAAATTTTTATAAAAAGCTCTTTTATAGTTATACTTACACTTAAACTTTACTTTAAGCTAGTTTATGCTAACATAGCCTAGATTATACTTAGTGTGTAAAAAATTAGCTATATTAGCTATAGCTACTAGCTAAAAGAAAAATCCTTACATATATAGCTTAAGTATATGCTTACTAATTACCTAGTTTTTATTATTACTTAACTTTTATAAGTTAGCTGTAGAATTAGCTTATAAAAGTTATTTAATAAATAAGATATGTTGAATAGGCTCTGACAGCTAGCTGCTTATAGTATAAGCACTTAAGTAGTAAGAGTAAGAGTGGTGTACAGTGTGCACAGCGTACAAGGTAGGTAAGGTAAGGGCAATATATTTCTAGTTCTATTGCTCTTGTCTTTTCTCTGTACAGAGGAAAAAGGGGATATCTAGATGTTTACGCATAAAGGTTTACACACAAGCATTATGTAACATAGATATGTAATCCTGCTTGTGCGCAATTATTTATATCTAGGCTGCAACACTGCTACTGCGTATAAACACTAGCAACTTTTCTTTTTATCTAAAAAGTTGCCTTCTGTACGTGTTACCTCCCTTCTGTCTATATAGGTCTATCTAATTATGTTCTGCCTTTACTCTACCCTATTTATTAGAACTTGCCTTAGTAATGCTATGCGTTAGAATAGGCTAGTTGCGCTATGTAAATAGCTCTTTTTTTCTTTATTCTTTACTTTCTAAGCCCTGCTATACAATCCTCTAGCTCTTTTCTCTTTTT